TTCCCCTACACGAATATGCATATCAATTAAAAAGAAAACTATAAAAGAACTATACATAATTCATATAAACCAATAAGAAATAAAAACAAAAAAGAACTAATTCACAATTTTTAAAATAAATATATATTTAAAAAAATATCAATAATTTCCTATTTAGAAAATACTTAGATACTACATAAAAAATTTTAAAAAATACTTAAGCAAGTAAATAGTAGTTTTAATTCTAACTTACGTACTATATGAGTGTTGGGGTCTGCAAAAATGTTGTGAAAGTGAAGTAAGTGTGTTCTTCACAAATTATATAGATGGCGTTTATGTAGGTAAAGTTGAGTGTCAAGCTGCTATCTTTGTTATAGTAAATTTTTTTTGTAAATATTAATATTAATTAAATTAAATTAATTAAAATCCTAAAGGTAGTAATATCAATTATTTAGGGAGTTAAGTAACTGAGCTAATCAAGAGAGATGTATTTTGCTTGAAGGAAATTAAAGTGAAGTGGTATGTGAAAAAAAATGTAAACTGTTTGTAAATTGAAATGTGTGTTCTGTTGAAAAATGTGAAAATTGTTAAAAAAAATTTAAGTGAAAGATATTTTTTGTGGAAAATTGCAAAAATTAAAGTAATTAGGAAAACACTGAAATGTTTTAATATTAAAGTTTTAAAGTAAAATTTCCCAAATTTTTTTTTGAAATGAAGTCCTTAAAAAACCTCTAAAATTTCCCCTCAAAAATTCCTTTAGGAAGTTAAATAAAACTTAAATTTGATGAAAGAAAGTATTAAAAGTTTAATGAACTTGATTTAATTGGTATATCAAAACTTAACTAAATACTGGCTGAAGTATGGAAAATTAGAAGAAGAAGATTAAAATCTTCACTCAATTCGGGCTATAATTGAGACTTTTGAAAAGAGTTGGCGCTTTATTAGTAAAAGGAAAGAATCCAGTATTGATACATATTTACAAATGTATCAATACTGGTAAATACCAGTAAATATACATATTTACAAAATATTTACAAGAAAAATTTACAATAATTTCTCTACTCTTTTATATCCTCCATTACCCTCCAGTTAAGATTTAAGGTAATGTTATCATATCCAAAAGAGCCAAAAAATTATAAAGTAAAGGCCTGCCTTTTAATATATAAATTTAATAAATTTGTGGTGGTACTTGGTTATCAACTTGACATTAATTAGTTTTATGATTTCTTCCTTTAAAATCGTCATTTCATACATATATTTTTTATTCTGATAATTTGGCTATGAAACGTGTTTCTATTACTTTCTAGAGATATTAGAGCTCCGATTAATTAGTTTAATAGTAGGAAAATGGAAATTCCTTCTTTTATCAAATAATTTAATTTTGTTGTGTTTAATACTTTGCAGGTCTAGGAATTCAATAGTATCTTGATTCGTTTTCGTTTTTATTAAGTGTTAAAATATATTGGGTAAATTTTGAATTTCTCAAAAGTAGAATTATTATTGAAAGTTTATAATATCATTATGGATCTAAAAGTATGAGCAAATAGCTTTAATTCATTTTTATTTAAATTGAGTTGGAATTTATATTCAAATGTAAAAAGAAATAGGTTACAAATTGTGTTGAAACTGTTTGCTCCCATAGGAATTCCTCTAACTTGCTGAAAGATTTCTCTTATTGTATTTATGTAGTTATTAATAATGCACAATTCAGATAAAGTATTCCATCTTTCAATACAAAGGATGTCAAGTATGTCAGGAAAATGTTGTGGGAGTTGCATTAAACTAGTAAAAATGTTCTTCTAATGGTAGAGAAGTATAAAGGTTTTCAAAGTCATAGCAGTTAATGTTCTTGATTGTTAAAACTTTTAAAACTGCTGAGAACGGAGCATTATTATAAATAATCCAACTATAATTGTGTGTTGTTAACGAGAGTTGGATTAATTTACAGATTTTTTTAAGTATAATTGCAAATATGTAATCTATAGTCTTTTTATAATTATTTGTACCATTAGCAATAAATCTAAATTTGAAGTGGTGATTTATGAAATTTGGGAGAGCATATAGATTGGCTAATCTATTGTAGTTAGAGGTTGTGAAATTTGCAGTTTCTTATGAAATGCTTTAGTTTTTCTGCAATAAATTTCTTGTAGATTGGTTGAGTTTGTAAGTAATGGCATTATTGAGTTCAGTATAATTAATGAGACATAAAAAAATTTTCATATTATGCTAAAGTTATTATTGGCTTTTTCAATTTTGGTAATTATGAACTTTTGTTTTTAAATCCTGTAAAAGAGGTATGAGAATATTCCACTGTAAATGGTATTAAATTCAATTCTTCTAATTTTTGCTTGAAATCTTCTAATACTGCATGTTTCCATGCCATAAAGTAGAAGTGGAATGGGAATATTAATTTGAAACTAGTTTTAACTATAAATTCGTCTATATTTTTACGAAACTTTTAAACTGTGATGTTTGTTAATTTTTAGTACTGGTCTAAATTTGGTACCTTTTCCATTAAAATTCTTAAATGTTGGTTTTGAACTATTGCTAAATTGCCTGTTATAATATGTTGATGAAATTGATCTATGAAATCTTGTATTGAAGCTCTTTACAGTATCAATGGGCTGTAGTAGCTAATTCATGGTGGTTAATTAGCAATTTACTAAGAGGTTTTTGGATACTTGAAAGCTGGTGAGATCTGTACTTTGGTAGCTGGAAAAAGTTTATATATATATATATATACATATACAAAATATATATTTTGTATATATTATATATATATTTTCTTTGTTTTACATATATATAGTTATTTAACTCTTTTGTTATAATCTTTGTTCCATCTAATCAACTTCTTGACATATACAAATATTTGTACTCTTCCGGTGTAATACATATTGTTCGTACAGTTATCTAACTTTCGTAATATAAGTGTTCATTCCAATATAGTAAATATGCCAATCTAACACATGAAATACCAATAACAATGTTGCATAATGTCTATGTATTTCGTAGTGAAAAATCTTTCTTCCACATTAATTTTCGTCACTTAAATATATCACATTTGGCTTATTTATACACCACGCGTCATCCAGTGTCTGCGCGTACCATTCATGCCTTTTACAGCAGAGTGGTCTGTACGCAAGACGTCCATTGCTTCGTCAACCCTTGACGCAGAACCATACGTCTCCGGCTGCCAATGGTGCGATGAAAGAAGGATGTGGACGGCAGAATGGAATGAAATTGTCTTTGCTGACGAGTCACGCTTCTGTCTGCAACACCACGATGGTCGGATTCGAATCTGGAGACACAGTGTGTAGAGAGGATGCTGAACAGCTGCGTTATGCACCGCCACACTGGTCCTGCACCGGGTATTATGGTATGGGGGTGGTATTGGATATCACTCTCGCACTCCTCTAATACGCATTGCCGGTACTTTAAACAGCCAGCGCTACATCTCTGAAGTGTTGAAGCCAGTTGTCCTTCCTTACCTCCAGGGCTTGCCCGCAGCCATATTTCAACACTATAATGCGCGACCACGCGTAGCACGCATTGTACAAGGGTTCTTCGTCAGTCGCTAGATTGAATTGCTTCCCTGGCTGGCTCGCTGTTCGGATCTTTCGCCGATAGAAAACATGTGGTCCATGGTTGCTGAACGATTGACCCAGATTACATCCCAAGCTGTCAGACCAGACAACTTTGGCAACGTGTGGAAGCTGCTTGGTCTGCTGTATGTCAAGAACACATCCAAAGTCTCTTTGAATCAATGCCGAGGCGTTGGAAGCGGTGATCACCAACAATGGCGGCTACTCTGGCTAATGATTCTGGAAGGAACCACACTTCACAGAATCATTTGATTTAAATTGAATCATTTGATACTTGGTCAATATGTTATCTACTAAATAAATTTTGTTGTGATATCTCTTGTCTGCAATTTGGGTGGCCAGCAGTGTATTTAAAAAAGTAGAAAATGATTTGAAAGAATGGAGTGACAGAGGGTAAATATATTTGAATAATGAAAAAAACTTGTGGACTATTTTTTTTCATCGGAGTGGGAGAAAGGCTGGACCACCGCAATTGAAATTTAAGGATAATCGTATCAAATTTGGTGAAAATATGAAATATCTAGGAATTATTATTGATAGCAGATTGAGTTTGGCAGAACATTTTAAGCATATGCATGGAATCTCAGATAACATTTTTAAATGTTATAATTTTAGTGCTGATACTTTGAATAGAAAGAGTTCCACCTTGAGAGAGATATTTCGAAATGTGATCATCCTTAAAATATTTTATGGAGTTTTTACTTCCTTTTTACTTCGTACAAGGAAGTAAAAATCTAATTCACTCAACAGAAAAGCATAACTTAAAATCAGGAATTAAAGGTTTATTAACATACTTTTACATCAAAAATCTTATAGAATTAGTTTAATAGCCAGACTTATGCATGTAAGTTAAGACAAATTTTCATTCACAAGTGGAGGATTTTGCATTGCACTGCTATAATTATGCTTAAAGATCTGTAAAACTTCGAGAAAACTTGTACAGATCTAGTGCTAAGCCATGTTTCTATCCAAAATGAAAACTTAAGAAAAAAAAAAAAACTTTTGTTTCATAACTACATTCTAGATTTGTTCTAGAATTCGAATTGAGTTTGAGTAGCTTGTGACAAGAAGACTTAAGTCTGTGAAACATTCTTTGCGCTTAAAAATCTGTAAATTATTAACTGAAATTTTATAACTCACTGAGGACTAATAAATTTGTTACTAACTGGAAGAGTTTATCTCGTAAAATCCCTTTGTTTATTGTGAGAAACTATGTGATTGAAGTTTTATATGATTTAAGGAAATAATGCTAGTAGGTTTTTCTTTCAAATATCCAATATTTTTCACATATTGTGGCAAGCATAAAATATTCATTTATTTTATGTATGTAAGAAAAAGCGTATATAATGATTTCCATTTGTAAATTAGCCAATATTGTCCATAAACAGTATGTTAAAATGAAAATTCTTTATATTTCAGAACGACTTCTATGCTGATTTTGAAAGAGATTTTAAGATACGGGAAGAGATTGAAGAGACATGTGCACAGTTAGAAAAAGCTTTAAAAGCTGTTCAAGTGTTTTAAAATGTTATGTAGTGCTCTCTATTGCATTTTACATATATGATAATTAACCTTGTATGCACGTAATTTTTAGAACTATTATAAATGTTTTGAAAAAGGGCTGAAAAAGTTTCATGCACTCATAGTTTTCAATATTGTTTAAATTCTTCTCCAAAAAAGTTGTATTTTTTTATAGTAAATTTTTTTGTCATCGTTTATATTTTTAGTCATTTTTATATGCTGTATTTGAATTTTGAACATATCAAGTTTTTTGTAATGCATATTTTTATTTCATGTAGTCAGTTTTCATATAATTCATATTTTTGGCTTCTGTGGAAATTAAATTGGTAATATTAGCTGTAATGTATTTTAAATAAATTCAGTGCAAAAAAATAGATTTCTTGATCAATTAGTTAATTAATTAAATTTCTTGATCAATAAGAATTTTGCAGAGTACTTGAGAATCATAAAGGCATAAAAACTCTTGATAATAGAAGTCCATATGATAAACTATTGTGAAGTTATCACAACAATCACCACTGAAAAATCCACCATTATATATAAGAACATGGTCAAATAGCGATACTCAACACCCGTTAGTAGTCATATTCTCTAAGGCTGTATGACACTCTTGAACATATCCTTTCTCTTATTCAGTTACGGCATAAAATTAAAGAATTGGAACCTTTAAGCCATTTATCTTACACCATACCACGTTATGCTTACGCGGAACAGCTGCTCAAGTCCCATAAGAGAACTTCGCTGCCTGGCAGTGATTTGTCTTCAAGTGTAGCACAAGTCATTTGGCTAAAATACACTGGTGTGCAAAAATTAAGGACGAAGTCGAAAAATTAGCATATCAGCTGAACGAAGAGGCAGAGCCGACAGAAAGACCAATCAGGAGATTAAGTAAGGTGATGTACGGTAGCTGCGCAGATATGCAGGTAGATTGTAATGGGGGAGTGTCTGAGTAGTATAAAGCATGTTGTCGGTGTAAAGATCATTATTTCTGGCAAGAGATTGCGCCGCCGTATAGCAGTTAAAATCACACCGAGTTGCTGCCTCAGCGAGAAATGGCGAAATAATCGATCTGTTAGACGACATCTGGATGCTTTTACCCGAGGTCGAATCATTGGGAAGTTGGAGGAAGGCCGCAGTGTGACAAGTGTGGCTGCAGAGTTCGGAATTGCTCACAGCATCGTTCGTTTCACGACTTTGGAGACAATTTCAAACTACAGGAATAGCTATCCGGGGTTTAGTAGTGGTCGTCCACGAGGAACCACACCCGCAGATGACCGGTATATTACCTTACAGGCCAGAAGAAACAGGCGGCAGACAGCGGGAGAAATCTCTAGACACAAGAAACAGGCGACTGGACGACCGATATCGCGTTTTACCGTGGCCAGAAGACTGCACGGTGGTGGTCTTTGCACGACGCCCAGTACGGTGTTCCTCTAACGCCTGCCCATCGGAGAACGCGTTCTCTTGGTGCCGGAACACCGAATTGGAGACAATATGGGGACGAGTATCTTTACAGATGAGAGCAGATTCGTCTGATAGCGATTCTCATTCTACTCATCTGGAGAGAGCGGGGAAGCCGCAATCATCCCTCGAAATCATGAAGGGCAGGGTATGGAGGTGGGGTGTTCTCGTTTGGGGAGTACATGCTTGGTAGTCGTACAGACCTTCACATCTTCGACACAGGTCAGTCAACGAAACCGTTATTGTCAACGAGATTCTTCTCCATATGTGCGTCTTTTCAAGGCGCTATGGGTACGCAGTTCTTTTCATGGACGACAATGCACCATGTCATCGCACAGTGCTGCCGAACACTCTTAGAGAGTGAGATATTGACGTATGGATTGGTCGCACGTCTCCGATCTCAAATCCCATCGAGCATGTGGGATTTTCAGGCACGCTTGGCAGCTCGTACCTACCACCAGTAACGATTCCGGAGCTTCGTTGGCCGCAAGAGAGGTCAGCAATGCTCAACAATGACACCCTCATTCCAGCATGGCAGACGCTGTGAAATGCTAGCAGTCAGGGAAGATCATATTCACTATTAAAGACCGATGTTCTTGCTGTACACCCATCACAGGGATGTTTCGGCCTTTAGTCGCATTGCGCTCATGCTACTTTTTCAATAAAGCTTCTTTTTTCCTCTGATTTCTCTTTAAGTAATGTTGCTTACATTACTCATGTCCTTACGTATTGGGGATCTTACGGTATTAAATGTGTTGATTTGAAAAGCTTTTGTACAAAGTTATATTGAAAAAACCGTCTCGTCCCTAATTTTTGCACACCAGTGTACTTTGCAGTGATAGGAAAATTGGTCAGTTGCACGGTTTCGAGAAGAAGTATTATTTGGCCGCTCTGTTTGGTTTATGCTCTAACGCAAACAGAGAATAAACCTTCAGATCTGCAGAGAAACCTTTTTATTATATGATTTTTATATATAAGTATGGAACCATGTCGAAATTTTTTTTTGTGATAACAACCCTTCTTTTTAAGACGTAATAAATAACACGCCGAACAATACTAATTCAGACATCAAACAACAAAAATCAGCGTTGTAGTTGTATTTTCAAAATAATCACGCGCAGCTGAGGGTGGTGGTTCGGTAAAACCATCGAAACTAGTCCTGTAAAAATTTTGAAAATATAACGCTGATTTTTGTTGTTTGACTTCTGAACCCTTCTTTTTATGACATAAAAAGAAATTCAGTTTGAAAAATGCAGAAGTGTATGTTTCCATGGTTAAATTAGACTTTGGCCTTAATTCCTATAACTTTTTTTACTATGAATGCATTAAAAGTGCCCTTGCTGGTTTATCCTTTCGTGATTGAGATGTAACTTGAACCTTAAATTCCTATCACTTCTGGTGTTACAAATGCAGTGTAAGTTACCGTAATGGAAAAGCAGTTTAAAATACTGGACATTATTTTGGTCAGGCTATCAGGATCAATGTTCCTTCTTACCTTCGGGAACATGCAAGGACCTGACTCGGAACAGAGAGCTTACTAAAGCTATGTTCACTAATTGTGGGAAGTATACAGGATACACAAGAAGGGTATACAAAACCTTATTTTTTCTTTATTTACACGACTTCCGTACTTCGGAATACACAGCCCGCTACTTGGGGTTAACGTAAAAATATAAAAAATAAACTAAACTCTAATTTAACTTTAAAATAATAAACGTGGAAGATTGGCCTAATTAACAGGAAGCCGTATGTAGTACAGAGAACTGTGAACACTAATACGTTTAAAATTTATCAAGAGGATTCAAACCTCTGGCCTGGAGGCAACCAGCAACTGCGTAATTCTAGGTAAGCGGCCCTTCGACTCACGCTTCCTCTCCCTCGCTTGGCAAAAAGCCACAATTAAATACTTGGCGTTCGCCGACAACTTTGCATAAAAACCTTACGCTTATAATTCTGGCGGAAAGTAGAAAATAAGAAGTTGTAGGGTTTTATATTTATTTTAACTAACATTATTTTAAGTTTAAACTATCTTTCCTGTCAAGCCTTACTTCGCCTGGAACTGCCAATGCCAGAATATGTAAATTTGAGTAGAACGCGCAAGG